AAAAGACATGGCCTGTTTGTTAGGGATGGTTTAAACCAGTTTTGCTACAGCCAACTATCTTCTTGCTATGTATAGAAGAATTTCACACTCGTCCTCTTGAAGTCCACCTAAAATTAAAGCAAACTATTTAATGCAGATATTTAGGTGGGACTGATAGCTGGCCTTGCTGTAGGGATAAAGGTAGGAGTCTCCTTTGAGTTCAGCTTGATGCCCGGTGACCCAATCCAGGTGGCTTTTCTAGACAACAATATGGAAGTAGCTTGCATTCCCTTCTTCCATGATTTAGTTTATCTTATAGCTCTGGAATTTCCTCATGGTCTCCTGTCCAAATACTAACCGGGTCTGAGCCCACTTCACTTTTACCGCATCTGCCAAGATCAGCTAAGAGCTGCCATCTAACTGGTTTTGGACTACCAGGAGTACAAAGAAAAGGAGATCTTTCTTTAGGTGACCAAGTGGAGAGACTTCCACAAAAAGGGTTAATGAATCCAACACGAATAGTTAATTTCAAGCATTTAGGACTCTTCCCACCATTGTTTGGCTGATAAACCAGAACTAAAGATGCTTGGATGTGACCAATGGTGATATGGCCAAGTTGGGAAATGGGAGTAGGAGTTTACATCTTGCCTTTCCAACGATGCGAACAAGAGTGCGGATGTCAAGTTGTTTAAACCCACCGGTAACACAGATGTAAGAAGGACCGAAAGGTGAGAACACGGAAAAAGGGGAGGAAGCAAACAGGGCATATTCCCACGTGGTCTGAATCACCAGCGGTTCAATGTTCTGTTTGTTACATCATAAGCATGACGACTTTTTAATGTCTGCTCTCTGTGAACCATTAGATTTACTTGGCAGCCAAGCATGAGGCTTCTCAAAAGATTCTCAGATCTAAACTCAGCTCCTTCCCCTACATTCCTTGAAGCAAGGAAATCACAGACCCAAACAAGGAACAAACCCCAAGTGTGGGGGGAAAAAATGGGAGAGAAGCTTTGGGGAACTTTAAGTGGGGCATTGAGACTTCTGTTAATCCAAAACCTAGATATTTCAAACTTTCTGTACATTCCTCTGGAAAGGCACCCAAATCACTTGGAGCATTTCCTTTCAGCAGTGGTTCTGTTGGAAATATCACTGAAAATGACACTGTAACAGCTGAAGGAGCATTTACAGGCTCAGGGCTTTGAGGATTAAAGCCTTAGGGACAAAACTGACACCTTTCAAGGGGAAGACTTCTTAGTAGGCATCCTGAGCAATGCGATGTGTGCTTGGCCCTACCACTAACTGCATTCTGAGAGATAATGCAATTTTTAATAGTTTTATTTAGTCTTTCCCAATCTGTTGCCCTTCCAGAAGACTTGTGGAATTCTGGGAGTTGTAGTTCTTGGACCTGTGGCCCCAGCAAAACTGGAGGATACTAAGATGTGTATTGCAGAACTAGCCTCTGAGTTTGCATTTTTATAGCTTGTACCCTTATAGGTTGGGACTTCTCAAATAATGCAACGGACTGCAAAATAATGGGACACACTGTTCACCACACAGCCCTGATCTGGAGTGTCAATCCATGGACTCCAAGAACTCAGAAATTAGGACTTACTGTTGCTTCCGGGTTAACTCCTGCTCCTTCAGGACAAGATCTTGCTTGAGGGACGCCAACATCTCCACGCTGACGTCCACCTGGCGAGAAAGCTCTACCGCTCGGTCCTCAAGTTCTTGTTTCTCACGGCTGAGCTTGAGGCTCTCTTGCTTGGCCTTCTCCAGCTCTGAGGTCTTCCGGTCTAATTCCACCTGGAGCCGGCCAACTTGGGAGGCGATCTTCTGTTCCACTTCTTCGGTGAATTTCTCCAGGCGCTTGTCTACTTCCAGCTTCTCAAAAGCCCGAATCTTCAAGCGGGTCAACCCTTCCTCATAAGCTGCATCCACAGCAGCTACTGTGGCAGCTGCAGCAGCTGCGGGAGGTGTGGTGGATGAAGTCATGGTCTTGCGGGTAAAGATCTCAGCCAGAGGGATCTCGATCTCGTGGAGGTAGCGAGATGACACGGGAGAAGATGAGGACTCCAGTTCTTCGGCAGCTAGGAGGTCACAGGTGATGTGCTGCTCTTTGCCCTGGAAGGACGTGCTTTCAAAAATATCCCGACGGGTGGCTGGGGTCAAGAGGGTGGCATCTGTTGCCAATGGAAAGATGGTGGCATCGCAGATACTGTTTGTCTTAGAGAGGACATAGAGAGTTTCGTAAGTGTGGTTATACTCCAAATGGGCCCTTAGTGAAGATAGGCTCCGGAAGCGCTTGTGTTCCCCGCAACGCGGACAGCGGTAAGGCAGGTCCAGAGAGGCCATCCTTCAACCCAAGCCACACCACCTGTCATGCAGCCCTCCTCCACAGGAAACCAGCTGCCGAGACCCTGTCATGGTGTAGATATATTGGCAAACCAAGAAGCAGGACTGGTGTAGCAGGGAGGACAGAAGTGCAGTGGGAAAGAAGACCAGTTCCACAAGGTCATTGCTGGCTAGGGTGTAGTAGAGGAAGGCGTGGAGGTGACAGACCCTGGCAGCCAAGGCAGAGAGACAACAGGAGGCTTGGTTGGCATCAGGCACAGCTGGTAGCCCTGCAAAAAAGAAGTGGGTCAGCATTTCTTTGGATTGGTGCTCTTTCCTCCCCTCCTCCTGAGATACCCCTTCCCCATCAGTAGTCTTCTGACTTCCTTGCCAGTGGGAGATTTAGGGAAGATGCTGAGAAGCAGCACAAAATAGCTCATTCCTTTAAACTGTCATGAAGTTACAAGAAACCAAAGAAGTAAGAAGAAAGCCCAGGAGGACAATCTCAGGCCAGTCTTCTCATAATGCACACTGAACTCAAGGAGATGGATCAACATTGACTTGAAAGTAGAGAAACCTGACTTCAAGGGCAAATAGAAGAGAATCTTTGTAGCTCAGGGCTGAACTGTGGAGTCCTTGGTGCTCTCTGAACTTGGTTGTTTGCTTGCAGGTATTTCATCACCCAACAAGGTAACGTCATCAGCACTGATGATGTTACCCAGTCAGGAATGAAACATCTGCAAGCAAACAACCAAGCTCAGAGAGCACCAAGGACTCCACAGTTCAAGGGCAAAGCTCAAGGGAAGGAGGCAGATGGAAATCAGCTATGCCTTTTCTCCAAAGACTTCACAGAGCTGACCTGAAGCTCACTGTAACGGGACACAGTGAATGCTCAGCTAAGCATCAATCATTCCTCTGCTGCTTGGTTTTTGAAATTCCCGCAGAGAACAGCTGGCTAGTTCCTGAGTAGACTTTTGGCCTAGCTGTCTATCTGTCCAGTCATACATTATTCTACCCTTGCAAGGAAGCCCTTGCCAATATCCCATTCCACGGATTGCTTGTCATGCAGAACCTTGTTCTGCTTTTCAAGTCAAGGCTGGAACCTCACCCCTGGAATGAATGGGACCAGCTCTTCAGTCAGAGAGAAGGTAGATGCTGTCTTGATTCTGCCCACCTCTGTACCCTGAGGTTTTCTTCCTTCCCTTGGGGGCTCTGAGAAAAGGGGGCAGATTCCATGGGATATCTGGCCAAACTAAGAGATTTGGCAGTCCTAATGAGCCTTGGTGCCAGCCCAGCTGAGCCTTCCCCAACTTGACACCCGCTGGGTGAGTTGGACTTCAATCTTCACAACCTGCGCTGGTTAAGGATGTGACAACCTACCTGGACCAGACTACACCAGTTTTAGAAAACATGCCTGGATCATACCAGGTTGGGAAAAACTGAACATAGATGAATCCTGCACATATGCCTGACAAGCTCAGCTTAATTTAGGAGGGTGCCAGTGTGCTGTGCTCAAAACCTTATTGTCAGCAGGGGGGCTTTCATTGTCAGGGGGTCCTTCAGACAGTCACTCAAGCCCTGGTCACCTCACAGCTTGACTACTGCAACAAGCTGTACCTGGGACTGCCCTTGAAGACCACCCAGAAGCTTCAACTGGTCCAGAATACAGCAGCATGAGCAGGAATGGGCAACCCTTGGTATGTCCATGTGCCACTTCTGCTTCACAATCTGTACTGGTTGTCAGTTTGTTTCTGGGTGCAATTCAAGGTGCAGGTTGTTACCTATAAAGCTCTACATGGCATAGGGCCTGGTTACTTGAGGGACCACCTGTTTCCCATAGCATCTGCCCGGCCAATTTAATCCAGCAGGGTTGACACACTCCGGAATCCTTCAGCTAAGCAATGCCATCTTCGGGACCTGGAAGGGCGTCTTCTCTGTAGCAGCACCTGCGCTCTGGAATGAGGTTCTCCCTGAGATTCAAATGCCCCCCACCCTGCTGGTTTCGAAGGGGCCTGAAGACCTGGGTCTAACTTAGGTTTTTTTCTTTTGTTTCCACCCAGATTGTGATTCTGCCACCTTTACCTTTCTTTGTTTCTTGTTGTTTTTATTGTCATGTTTTTCACGTCTTAAATAATTTGTAAACTGGCCTGAGTTGCTGGGAGTCGGGCAGCATATACTGCTGGTTTCGAAGGGGCCTGAAGACCTGGGTCTAACTTAGGTTTTTTTCTTTTGTTTCCACCCAGATTGTGATTCTGCCACCTTTACCTTTCTTTGTTTCTTGTTGTTTTTATTGTCATGTTTTTCACGTCTTAAATAATTTGTAAACTGGCCTGAGTTGCTGGGAGTCGGGCAGCATATACATCATCATCATCATCATCATCATCATCATCATCATCATCATCATCAGGGCCTGATCTACAAACATTTGCTTTCTTTGCTGT